GAGTCTCGGTCAGCCTGACCTCTGGGTTCCACCCTGAGAGTAATGGGCAGGTGGAACGGGTAAATCAGGATGTGGGTAGGTTCCTGAGGTCCTATTGCCAGGACCGGCCGGGGGAGTGGTCGGTGTTCCTGCCATGGGAAGAATATGCCCAGAACTCTCTCTGCCACTCCTCTACGAACCTAACGCCATTTCAGTGGGTTTTAGGTTATCAACCGGTTCTGTCACCATGGCACCAGAGCCAGACCGAAGCTCCTGCGGTGGATGACTGGTTTCGTCGCGCGGAGGAGATGTGGAACGCTGCCCATGTTCACCTCCAACGCGTTGTGTGTCGTCAGAAGGCCAACGCTGACCGTCACCGCAGTGAGGCCCCCGTCTTTGTACCGGGGGATCGGGTCTGGCTCTCGACCCGGAATCTGCCCCTCCGCGGTTTTGTAGGGCCGTTCAAAGTCCTGAGGAGAATCAACGAGGTCACATTACTCCCCCCTGATTACCGTATTAATCCCTCGTTTCATGTGTCTCTCCTCAGGCCGGCGGTGGCTGGTCCGCTCCAGGAGACTGAGGTGCGGGAGGTCCCTCCACCTCCTTTGGACATTGAGGGGGCGCCGGCGTACTCTGTCCGTTCCATACTGGATTCGAGGCGCCGGGTGGGGGGCTTTCAGTACCTTGTGGAGTGGGTAGGGTATGGTCCGGAGGAACGGTGCTGGGTCCCTGTGAGGGATATCCTCGATCCCTCTCTGTTGAGGGACTTCCATTGTCGTCATCCGACTCGCCCTGCTCCGCGTCCTCCAGGCCGTCCCAGAGGCCGGTGTCGGCGCACTGCTGGAGCTGTGCGTCAAGGGGGGGGGGGGGGGGGGGGGGGTACTGTCACGAATCAACTGGCGAAAGCCATCCAAGTTCATTTACTTCTGAAACGGGACAAAACAAAGGCTACAAAACATTGCCATACAAACAACAGCTGTTAGTAATAATAGCCACCTCATATTGCTATCTGTCAGATAACTAGAGGCTAGAGCTGACCTGGGTGTGGTAGCTACTACTAGCGTAGCTTATTCATTCACCTCAGTCAAGACGGGATGAAACATTAGCTAACGTTGCATGTCAGTTACAATACTAGCTCAGCACTGCGAATAAACACTAGTTTAGTTTTTTTCTGTTAAGTTAAACAGCAGTTACCTTACCAGCTAAATCAGTCAACTAAATAGTAGCCAGTTTCTGCTCTGCTTTCTTTTACAACTTGGTGAAAGAGCGCAACACATACACACTGAACTATGCTCAACTCTCCCGCGCTGGTCAGCCTTCCAGAAGCTTTGCCTTCACACAGCCTGTCGGCCCGCTCTGTGGTGTCCGCGTGGTCCTAAATCCAGCCTTCTGAACACACCAAACAGCCATCCAACCACTCGGAGGCATCCCCGTGGTCCTAAAGCACACCCTTGCCATTTTTTGTATCACATTGCAATGATAAAACTGGGGTGGACAAAAATGCTATTTCAGAATGTGGTGGGGACATGACCCCCCCCATCCCCAGTGAAAGTTGCGCCCCTGTTTACAGCTAATTTCCTGCAATTATATCCATTTTGACATGGGATGGAGAATTGTTTTGGCCGTTTTAAACAGGTTTCCTGCAATTCTGCAATTCTTGTAATGACTTATGCCATGTTAATATGATATCTGAGTGAGAATGACCAACAAAATCAATGAGGGCCCCCTGGAGGTCAGGGCTCCTGGGCACATGCCCTGCATGCCTAGTTGACATGCAAGTTTAGATAGCTGGCTAAACTAAATACCAATCAAAAAATTGTTAGCTGACATGGCTAATTGAGTGACCGCCAGTGACTGACATAAGAGAAACTGCTGATGTACAACAAAATTTGGAAATTGCACCTGGTGTATTCTACTATTATTACTGTCAATAGTAATGTCACGATCGTTGAGAGACGGGTCAGACCAAGGTGCAGCGTGGTATGCGAACATGTTTATTCAATCAAATAAACATTAAACAAAACAAGAAATAACGTAACGTGAAGTCCTCAGGCTAAACACATACGAGTCTAACACGGAACAAGATCCCACAACAACGGTAGGCAAACAGGCTACTTAAGTATGATCCCCAATCAGAGACAATGAGCAACAGCTGTCTCTGATTGGGAATCACACCCGGCCAAACATAGAAAACCAATACCTAGATTCTACGCATAGAAAACATCACATAGATTCACACACCCTGACTCAACATACAAGAGTTCCATACGTCAGGGCGTGACAGTACCCCCCCCCCCCCCCCAAAGGTGCGGACTCCGACCGCACAAACCTGACATAACAGGGTAGGGTCCGGGTGGGAATTCCGCCTCGGAGGCGGATCCGGCTCCGGGCGTGACGACCTCTCCCTCTCTGCCTCCCCGTTGCGCCCCTGGTTGGTCTGGACCTCGGCGCGATGCTTCCCCTCTCCTTCCTCCCACGATGCACCAAGCCCTGTCTGGACCCTGGTGTGGGAGACCCCGAACCTGGAGAGGGGCTGACGTCTGGGCCTGGATCGGCAATCCCCCCACGATGCACCAAGCCCTGTCTGGACCCTGGTGTGGGAGGCCCCGACCCTGGAGAGGGACTGACTTCTGGGTCTGAAGTGGAGCCGCTGACCGGAACTGAATTGGCTCCGGTGGAGCGGACTGCTCTGGCTCCGGAATGGATCCCCTGACCGGAGCTGGACTAAGCACCGGTGGAGCGGACTGCTCTGGCTCCGGAGTGGAGAAACCGACCGGAGCTGGATCAGGCACCGGTGGAGCGGATTCCTCTGGCTCCGGAATGGAGCCGCTGACCGGAGCTGGACTGGACCCCGGTGGAGCAGACTGCTCTGGAGCTGGACTGGGCACCGGTGGAGCGGACTGCTCTGGCTCCGGAGTGGAACCGCTGACCGGAGCTGGATTGGGCACCGGTGGAGCGGACTGCTCTGGCTCCGGAGTGGAACCGCTGACCGGAGCTGGACTGGGCACCGGTGGAGCGGACTGCTCTGACTCCGGAGTGGAGCAGCTGACCGGTGCTGAACCAGGCACCGGTGGAACGGGCACGGGCCGTGCCGGACTGGGAACACGCAACACTGGCTTGGTGCGAGGAGCAGGCACGGGCCGGGCCGGACTGGAGACACGCACCACTGGTCTGGTGCGAGGTGCAGGTACGGGGCGTACCGAGCTGTGGAGGCGCACTGGAGGTCTGGAGCGTAGAGCTGGCACAACCCGTCCTGGCTGGATGCCCACTTCCGCACAGTATGTGTGTGGCGTTAGCACAGGACGCACTGGGCTGTGCACGCGCACTGGCGATACAGTACGTAGAACCGGCGCAGGATATGCTCGACAGAGGAGGCGCACTGGAGACCAGGAGCGTTGAGCCGGCACACCCCGTCCTGGCTGGATGCCCATTTTCGCATGCCACGTGCGTGGCGCTAGCACTGGACTGTGCCGGCTCACTGGCGACACAGTGCCTAGCTCCGCATAACACGGAGCCTGCACAGTCACACGCTTCCTAGCGTGAGTACGGGGAGTTGGCTCTGCTCAGAACCCAGGCTCCGCCAACCACCCCGTGTACCACCCCCAACATTTTCTTGGGGCTGCTTCTCGGCCCTTCGTTGTGACCGCGTTCTCTTGGGTCGCCGTTTCTCCTCTCCTGCCTGGGCTTCCTCCTTCGCCCAGGGTCCTCTATCGGCTACTCTCTCCTTCTCCACCCTCATCCCTTTCAGGGCCTCCATCTGCTTGGCCAGATCCTCTCTTATCTCCCCCCAAGTCCATGATCTCTGCTCCACTACCTGTGTCCAGGGTGTCTGCTGCTCTTGGGCACACTGCTTGGTCCGTGTTTGGTGGGATCTTCTGTCACGATCGTTGAGAGACGGGTCAGACCAAGGTGCAGCGTGGTATGCGAACATGTTTATTCAATCAAATAAACATTAAACAAAACAAGAAACAACGTAACGTGAAGTCCTCAGGCTAAACACATACGAGTCTAACACGGAACAAGATCCCACAACAACGGTAGGCAAACAGGCTACTTAAGTATGATCCCCAATCAGAGACAACGAGCGACAGTTGTCTCTGATTGGGAATCACACCCGGCCAAACATAGAAAACCAATACCTAGATTCTACACATAGAAAACATCACATAGATTCACACACCCTGACTCAACATACAAGAGTTCCATACGTCAGGGCGTGACAAGTAAGTTGAGATCCTGACTGAGTTCCACAACAAACATATTGTTGGTGGGTCAGGGGCCCCCGGGCTAAGTGACTGCTTATGCCTGGAACCAGCCCTGTCATGAGTATTGCCATACTCTGCCTACTGCCATGATCAGTTTAATATCTAATTATTAGTGTGCATTTAAACTTACTCAACCCCCGATAGCAAAAAACTAACATTTGAGAGAACCAATCAAACCCATTGCACAATTCCTGAGCGAATATTGCATTAACGGCCTCCTTTCCAGACCAGTGTGGTAAAGTTATAACACCTGCATACTTATGTTATTGACTCTTAGGGTTAGGTCTCTGAGATTATCAAGCAAACATACACAATATAAGTTGAGCTCCATTTATTGAATCATTATTAAATGTTGGTTTTTATTTACAGATTTATATAATATTTATTATATATTAATTCTGATATTAATCATTTTTAGGAGGCCAGACATTCACATAATTTAGTTAAGCATTCACATGAAGAATAAAACAATGATGGGTGGTAAATCCAAACATTCCCCAGAACACTTAAAAACAGACACAAGTGGAAGAGTTTCCTTGAATAAAATAACAAAATGACACGCAAGTTATTTTACTTATATTAGATATCTAGAGGTTTTGCCGTGTACACAAATCACACTCAATAATTTACCCACAAATAAAACTGCAACATCATGATTGATGACCAGCAGAGCTTTTTAAACATTAAAAACCAACCATCCTCTACTAAGAGCCTTAGAGGTCCCATAGTCACTGACCAGCAGGTATACTCACCTACTCCTGTCTCATTGGAATACATTACATTCTGACAGTCAGAACAGGTTTATGGAGCGATGGAATGGATTCAGTAGTCAGTACTGCTGTCACTCCCTTTGTTACAGTGGTGCTTCTTTTACAACCAGTGTCACCTCTAAAAGCTACTGTAGGTAGTATCAGTATTACTCTTACTTTAAGTCAGCACATTCAGACTTGTACTCAGAGAGCCCAATAACTACCACTCCGTTCCAGTTTGTGTCAGTTAATTCTAGATTATTTTAGAGTACCGGTATATCAAATGTAGAAGATCCTACATAGACATGGAGTGTTCAGACTCAACTAGGTAAAGTAAACAATTCAATATTTAAAAGAACATCCCAAAAGATTGCAATTTAGCTGGCATACGCCTACAATACAACATCGCTTTCAGTGATTGTGCCCATTCTAAAACGTTCCATTTCTATAGTTCCAGTTCTCATTTCCTCAGCGTTCTAAGCTTTAGAACCTTGGTGGAGATCTAACTCTCCATGGAGTCCAGGAACTCTCCCTCAGTGATGTGCTCCAGTCTCTTCAGGACTTGGTGGGCGCTGGCTGTGGGGTAGTCTGCCACAGGGTAGTCTGCAGGGCTGCTGGGTGAAGTGCCCTGGAAGGAACAGCAGAGTGTACGGAGGAAGGGAACCAGCTGGGTGATGGAGGAAAGAGAGCGACGGGTGAGGAGGGGGAACTCCAGACGCTCCGTAGACGACTCTTCGTACAGCTCGTTCAGCGCCTGGAATTACAGGACATGACATGACATCAACAGAATGGGACGAGCGGACCGCATAATTGAGTCAGGTCGTTATCATGGTGAATATAAGGACATGTTCTCTTGCTCTATAGTGGTGTGTGCGTTCTCTTACCCCATAGCGTTGGTGTAGTGCCTCTAGTACTTTGACAACATGGGGTTTGCACTCCTGCTCTCCCTCCAGGAGACTATTTTCTGGGCCACTGTAGCGGCTCATATCCACCTCTGGAACAAAGGCCCAGCGATACCTAGTCACACACACACACACATGAGCAGAGAACATTTCATTTAATTGTAATCATGCTAAGCACACCCTTTATAGATGCTAAGCTGATATTAAGCAGGGTGAGGCTCTCACATCTGAAAGAGGGGCATCTTCTCTGGGGGGAAGGCCAGGGCGGTGTCCAGGAACTTGCAGGCAGACAGGTACATGTCCAACTCTGGCCGGGGAAATGTCAATGACCCATTCCCCATGGCCCCACGCACCACTTTAGTCAACCTGACACAGAGAAGAAAAGAGGAAGGAGAACAGAGAAAAATACATTAGACAATTTAATGAAACATGGTTGTGATATTCACATGAGAGACTGTCTCATACATATTAGAGAGATGGACAGATACATTGATGTGTCTACAGTACATGTAGATAAATTGAGTAGACTGAGTAATCATGGACTCACTTGGACACCTCTTTTTCTTCCGACAAGGCTTTCTCCAGACGAACAAATGTGCGAATCTGACAAACAGAGAGCAGAGACACCATTAGAAGACAGGACTGGACAAACACTTCCAAACACTGTTTCTTTTGACATGCCACCTCCCTGCTGAAAACAATGTATGTAGCTACAGTGTATACATGCATTGAAATTAGGAAATTAGGACTGTGATGATACCAGTATCGCACTATTTTTTCCATGCCAAAAAAGAAAACACAAAGCAGACAAAACTCTTTGGTCGTTTAAAAACCTGCTGTATGTAAAATATTGTGTGATATAGCTTGGAAAATAAACAAATGTGACTGGATGACAACATAATGATGTTTGTTTCAAACAATAGGGCTGTTTTCCTAAAGGAGTTAAATCCGCTTTGTGATTTGTTTCCTTGCCATGATATACTAACAAGTATTGCGATACTGGTATCCTCCTGGCCCTGCAGGAAATCAGTGACAGGAAGTGATGTCATCAGGGTGGGGGTTGTTCCTCACCAGTTCTGTCACCATGATTGGCCAGAGGGAGGTGAGGTGCTGGGGGGAGATCCGCAGCATAAGAACACGGAACGTCAGAAACATCTGAGCAGAAACGGAGGACGTCTGACCAATACGCAGAGCCTCTGTCAGCCGCTCTGAGGGAGAGGAGGAGGAGGAGGAGGAGAGAGGATAGGACACCAGTATTACATTATACTGTACATTAATTATTAATATTGGCCTGATAAAATGTTAATCAATGTCACACTCTCACATTATCTATCAAATGTTTATTTTCCAAAATGTGATGGTCTACACCAGTAGTTCTCAGTCCTGGTCCTGGTCCTGGGGACTCATAGGGGTGCACATTTTTGTTTTTGCCCTAGCGCTCACACACTTCATTCAACTAATCATGTCCTCATCAAGCCTTTGATTATTTAAATCAGGTGTTTGAGTGCTAGGGCAAAAACTAAAAAAGTGCACCCATTTGGGTCCCCAGGACCAGGATTGAGAAACACTGGTCTCCACACTTTGTCAATACACACACAAAGAATACTAAATACACAGAAACACAAGAAGCACACCCACCTTGGATGAGGGGCAGGTAGAGGTGGTACTGGTCTAACTCTCCACTGAACATGGCAAAGGCCTGACGCTTCAGTAACATGGGCTTCTGCTCTACACTGGGAAACAGCTTCAGAGAACTGCTCTGCATGCCTGCAACACACACAGACACACAGTTAACACACGTACAAATGCACGCACGCACACACACACCCACTCTACTTACTCATGAGGTCTTTGAACATGGTCTTCTCATGGGTCAGCAGGTGGTCAATGATGGATCTCCAGCTAAAGAAAACAGAGGTCAAGAGAGGTCAAACACAGTCGTTTTCTTTTAACAATTTATTTGATAATATTGATTTGTCAATATTTACATGGCACGCATGTACGCACTCACACACAAGCACATGCACAAACACAATCTTACTGGGGGGCACAGGAGACGTCCATGGTGAAGAACAGGGGATCCATGTAGAGTTCGAAGGCCTCTTTCCTCCAGGCCCTCTTGGTGTAGGCGTACCCACTCAGATTGCTCAGGAGCTGGGCACCCGCACTGAAACTGGGCATGTTGTAGGCACTGTGGTTCTTCAGGTAGGGGAAGACGTAGTACATGAGGCGAGAGATGAGAGGGACGGCTTTCTCCTTCTCATCACTGCGATACACCATGTCCAGGAGAGGGGCTAGAACCTACAGAGGAGGAGGGTCTGTCAGACACAGAAACATATACATAGGCGTGAGAGCCATAGGTGCACAGATCTGCACACTTACCTCTGCCAATAGCGCTAGAGCTTGTACACTGTACACAGAGGGGGCTGAGGAAGACACCATAGTGCTGGCCTGAGCTTCAGAGTCTGGAGAAACTGAGAAAAGAGAGTAGAAAAGGAAAGAGGGAGATGGGAACAGAAGGGAGTTGTTACTCATGAATATGTATGACTTTCTTCTCCAGTGCCTGCTCTGAGGACCGACCCAAGGTTTAAACTCCTCAGGGTAGTGGGAAGTATCTCCATCTCCTGGGTGCACTGCTCCCAGCGGCGCTGCAGGGCGCTTAGTTCCACTAAAGTTGACATGGGTAACACCAGAGGAGAGGCACTTTTGTGAGAAGAGTGTCCTTCTTCACTGGACCACTATGCTGGGGGACATAGTGAGGATGTGCTGTGTTTCCATGGTTACAGTATAAGTCTGTGGTCTCTCTCAATCTACTCTAATGTAGACCTGAAGAGAGCGGAGGAGAGGATCGAGAGGAGAGGAGACTGTTGGTCGAGGTGGGCCCTCTTGCTTTTCTTAACTAATGATGTGGAACGTACATTAGATGCCAGGGTTTGGTTGCCATGGTTACTGAGGAGCATGCCCTGAGGGTTTTGGACAGGGGTGTCAAACTCATTCCATGGAGGGCTTAGTGTCTGTGGGTTTTTGGTATTTCCTTTCAATTAAAACCTAGACAACCAGGTGTGGGGAGTTCTTTACTAATTATTGACCTTAATGCATGTGGTCCTCTGTAGCTCAGCTGGTAGAGCACGGCGCTTGTAACGCCAAGGTAGTGGGTTCGATCCCCGGGACCACCCATACACAAAAAAAATGTATGCACGCACGACTGTAAGTCGCTTTGGATAAAAGCGTCTGCTAAATGGCATATTATTATTATTATTATTATTATGCATCAATCAAGTACAAGGGAGGAGCAAAAACCCGCAGACCAGCGCTTCCCAAACTCGGTCCTCGGGACCCCAAGGGGTGCGCACGTTTTGTTTTTTGCCCTAACACTAGACAACTGATTAAAACTATCAAAGCTTGATGATTAGTTGATTATTTAACAAAACCCAAAATGTGCACCCCTTGGGGTCCCGAGGACTGAGTTTGAGAAACCCTGCCGCAGACACTAGGCCCCCCGTGGAATGAATTTGACATGTGGTTAAGCCTAATTTACACCTTCCGCTTCAATCGAACGTCAATTGAACGTCCACTTCCATCCGCAGCTCCTTGGAAAAGTGTCCTGGAAAAGTGCAGACATGTACGGACAGGAGTGGACGTTTGATATTGCACCTAGAAGCACAAGGTGTAAATTAGGCTTCAGTCTGTTCCTGATAGAAGCCAGGGATGTCTCCAGGTGTGTGTGTGTGTGTGGTTACCATAGAGGACCAGGTCCAGTTCGTCGGATGGCTCCTCGGTCTCAGGACACACCTGTGGCTGGTTCTTGACCTCCAGGTTGCGGCTGAGCCAGCTGGTCTGCTCCAGAGACGACCCAGCCACCCCGCCCACTGCCTCCAGGATCTTCTGGGTCACCTCCTACAGGACATCACCATGGTAACCATCATTATCATGCATCTCACACTGTACCCTCTCAATCTCACACTAAAGCTTAATTTAGGCCTTTCGCTTTAATTAAAAGTCTGGTCAGTCCACACATTTCGGTGTGGACATGAGCGGACGTTGGATATTGCATCATTTCATTCAGTGGACCGAGCGGATGGCGTGGAAGAGGAAGGTGTAAATTAGGCTACAGCTGGGGTACTGGGGTATGTACTAGGGTATGCTACTGTGCTCCATGTCTTACCTGCATGTCCCTGGTGTCCTTCTTACTGTCCAGGTTGGACAGCCGGTTTACAAAGTCATTGAGGATCCTGTGGTAGGAGTGGAGAAAGATGACTGTACAGTTATGGATTGGTAGACTAGAGTGCAATAATATCTTGTTGATTCTGATACAGTATCAAACCAAAGCATGTCTATTGATGTGGGATGTACTACTTATGTTTGGAAATAACATTTACATTGTTTCAAACAACAGAGAGTGTTATGCTGGGAACAATGTCTACAGTAACAAATCAGTATGACCATTAGACTGTAAGTCGCTTCGGATAAAAGCTAAATGGCATATGTTATGTGATCAACGACTGAGAACAGTTTCTGGACATTGGACATCAAGAGAACATTTTAGTACATGTGTCAGACAGATAAGAAGTTGATGACTAACCCCAGCAGCAGGAAGTGTCCGGGCGGGGCCAGGTTGAGCTGCACAGATTCTCTGAGGAGACTGAGGAGGGGCGCCACGTTCTCCATGAGCGCCTGAGCTGGAATACTACCACACACACAGAGAGGAGGGGGGTGAAACATTGTTAAATAATATCACATGTAGGCAAGAACTGAAGTGTATTACTAATCTCTGTGTTGATGTCGTTGTTTGTTACCTCTGGGTGTAGGCATAGCTGAACTGTAGCATGGGGGTGTCCACCAGGGTGGACTTCTGCCACACAGACGAAAAAGAGACAAAAGGGTTACATCAACTATGACCTTCAGATTACCACCATGTCATTTCTCTCTGGGTTAAACAGTCACATCTTTAGGTAGGTGTGTGTGTGTGTGTGTGTGTGTACCTGGTCTCCTTTGATCTGGTGGGGTTTCTTTACCACCTCTTTGACCATCTGCAGGATGTTGTCCGTATGGAGCGTTCCCAGGGACTTCACCAGATCCACGATGGTCAGATGAGACTCACTGGCCACAGGCAATATCTACAGAGATATGGAGAGAGAGAGAGAGGAGGAGGAGATAGCAGGGAGAGAGGGGGGGGGGGCATTACTTTGTGTGTTAGAAGGTGTGTGTGTGTGTGTGTGTGTGTGTATGTATGTATGTCTCAATAATTCAGTTTTAAAACACTCACTTTGTTTGTGGAGTGTCTCTTGCTCCTCCGGCTGCTCCACACAACTCCCACTGAGGCCATGAGCTGTACCCCGTACTGCCTCGTCAGAGGAGTCAGGAACTCCAACACACGCTGCCTCAGGATCTACACACACAAGTACAGTCAGAGTGACACACAAATTCACATGCAATACATATCATAGCACTACTTACTGCCCATAAGAACACACTCCCACGCAAACATAAACACAGGCATACCTTGGAGCTCCTGAAGTAGACGGATGTGGAGGCGTGTCTGGTGGTCTGGGTGGAGTCTGAGCCCCTCCTCTGGGACTCCTCCTTCTTGACCACGCCCCACAGCAGAGCCATGCTACTGAGCATGTGCGGCAGCTCCTCGATCACAGCATTGCGGGCGTTCCGGACGTCTGCAGGGTCACAGGCCACCAGGGACTGAGAGGGAGGGATGGAGACATTTAGACCATCATTGTTTTCTGCATGTGTGTCCAAGTGGGTAGCAGAGTGATCCACCTACATGTCGCCAAATCAGCAGTGCGTGTGTGTGTGCGCCTCACCTTCTTGTTGTCCAGTAGACAGTGGTGAGTGAGTGTGGTCAGTCCCTCCAGTAGGGTGAGGGGATAATCAGGAGCGATGTTCTCCTTCCTGCTACTCTGTGTAGCCTTCCCCCCGTCGTGATCGTACTGTTTGACCAGCTCGTCCAGGTTCCTGCAGATCTGGGTGATGAGCGGAGCCACGATGATGCCCAGCGAGCGCCCCAGGTAGGGCAGAGACGAGCACAGCAGCGCCACCCAGTGGGGGTGCATGGCATAGCCGTACTGCGGCTGCAGAGCCCGGGCTGCAGCAGACACAAACATCCCCTGGGCTGTGATGGGCTGGGTCTGGACATACTGAGCTGCCTTGATGGACTGTTGGAACAGAATCCCTGTCTGCCATTCCCGCTTCAGGGCTGAGGAGGAAGGGATAGCTGCAGGTGTGTCACGGGGCTCATCGGGGTGCGGGGTTGAACCAGACCCCCCTGGCCACACGTAGTACTCCAGGACGATGAGGGCCTGTAGGAGCTTGAGCAGCTCCATCTGTAAGGGGTACTGCTCCTGTCCCCCTCCCCCTCCCAGATTCACCAGGCTCTCCTCAGACAGACCCACCTGTTCATCTAACAGATCCAGACACCCCACGGCAGAGTCCTTCTCCACCCCTCTCTGGCTGATGTACATGGACGTTGAGAGGGTGAGAAGGGCGTACTGCTGCACCTTACACCCGGCCAGCAGCTTGCGGATGGCCTCCGGGCCGACCCCAGCCTCCCCCTGGGTGGAGGTGTCCCCCTGGCCCCGCGCCACACAGCCCAGCTGGGTCACCAGGCGGGTCAGCACCCCCACGCTCTTCACCTGGACCTCCCTGTTCCCCTGCAGCTCCCTGGGGCCCAGGGTGAGGTAGGACGGGTAGTGGGAATGCAGGAACCTCAGGCACAGGGACACCAGCAGCTCGATGAGCAAGGAGGGGGGAATGGAGGGCGAGGAGGTGGGCGAGAGCAGGCGTCCGTGGAAGCCTCTTCCGTCCTGGGCCTGCTGGTGGCGCTGGAGCAGGTTGGAGACCAGGTTGAGGTGGGCGGCTGAGCTTGTGTCCAGGGAGGTGGAGGAGAGGGCGTCCACTAGAGGACGCTGGGCGCTGCTCCTCAACAGACTGTCCAGCAGGGCCAGCCCATGGAGCAGACGGGGCCAGCCGCCGGGCACAGAGTACAGCAGAACATGGCGGAACAGAGAGTCGATGACTTCCCGCTTCTCACGCTCCTGTTTGAGGAGACGCGACCGAGCCATGGCTTCAAGCTCCAGGTCCTCCTCCTCCTCGCTCGACAGTGAATCGGACGCCTGCGTGTGTTCCGATTCCACCCTCCTCAGGCAGCTGACCACACCTCCTTCCTCTACGCTACAACCGTAAGGGGCGGAGCTGGAGTTCTCCGTGGAGACCTGGGCACCACTGGTGTCAGCTGACTCGGTGTGTTCGCTCTCTTCCTCCTCCTCTTCCCCCAGCTCGTCTTCCCCCTCTGTGGCTTCGCTCTCGCTGCAAGACACCCCCGTGGAGTCAGCCGCTGGAATGGTCGTCTCCGGGTCACGCTCTAGTTCCCCCCACAGGGCCTCCCGGTCCACCAGGATCATGTGACCCAGTGTACCCTCATCTGGTTGGGTGCTGGCGTCCGTGGAACCCTTGGTGGTGCTTTGACTTCTGCTGTTTAAACCTTTCAGATGACCTACAGAGAGAAAAAGGTCTACCAAAACATACACACACTAGGAGAGCAACATCCCTAAACACTCCAATTATCACAACATAAGACTCCAGAACACACGTACCTGCAGTGAGGTTCTGCTTGACACTCTGGATGGTGTAGCGCTGGGTGGAGGGGTGGAGCAGCAGCAGCAGAACAGGCTCCAGGATGCGGACCACGTCCTGCAGGGAGAGAGCCCTGACCAGCCAGCACTGGGCTGCAGCACTCACAGAACCATCTGGGCTGTTCAGACAGTCCACCACCACGCACAGAGACCTGGGACAGAGATACACAGAGTCAGTCATAGGGAGATGAGGGACAGACGCAGAATCTTAAATAGTGCTCTGAGAGAGAAAGAGACAGAGACAGAGACAGAGAGAGAGAGAGAGAGAGAGAGAGAGAGAGAGAGAGAGAGAGAGAGAGAGAGAGAGAGAGAGAGACCATCTCTGCGATCTGAGGAAAGGACAACAGGTTCACCATGGTAGTAGAGTCATGAAACATAATACACTGGGGACCACACCACAAACTGCTGTTGGGCCCAGAGACCAACCACTGACCATACTTCAGCTCTGTACTCACCGGTCAAACGAGCGGTTCAGAGACATGGTCCGGTTTGACTGGTTCCCCCTGGTCAGGTGCCACAGCACTGAGAACCTGTGTAGGGCCTCCAACCGTACAGCCTGAGGGAACACACCAACATAATTTACATGGTAGTTAAACACACAGGATTACTTACTGTTTGTTTTATCACATGAATTTAGCCTAGAATATTTGTTCCTATGTTAGGTGGGTATATGTAAAACTGGGGTGTTGTTTAAATGCGTTAGGTGTATTGGATGGATCTTTGCTGTAGGCGTTTAGTGTCTTGATATTACAGTAGAATCTTGTTAGTGTGTGTGTGTGTGTGTGCGTGCTCTGTACCTTGTCTCTGTGCAGTAAAGCCTGGCAGACGATGTCCTCACAGATGGATGCGGAGGGGGCCAGGCAGTGGAGCCGATAGAAGAGGTCCACACAGGAGGTGTGCTGCTCTCGACGCTCCACATCCAGCTGACCCCACAGCACCTGGGCCACCCGCTGCATGGGTTCACAAAGGTGAAAGGTGAAATGTTAGAGGTGATGATGATTGGTGTTCATTTGGATCAACTTAACGCAGCAGCATCAGACGACTAATTATCCTGATGTGGTTAGGTAATAGGCAGCAGAAATAAAAAAGGTGATGATGCTGTTGTACAGGGAGAAACAGATGACACATTCACTAAGGAAATGTACACATTTCATCATATTATACAGTAACACGTCGGACCAGCTAGGTCCCCTCATATTATGTTCCCTCTTCATGTGGCAGTAATACAAGCCCCCTGCCATGGTAGACCATGATTTCCTGACCTGGTAGAAGTCTGTGCTCTGCTCGATGGCGCTGAGCAGGCCTGGGTAGATGGGGGGCACAGTGACCATCTGCAGCCGCCCGCTCAGGGGGTTGGCGTTGCTGGCCTGGTAGCGCCTGGTCTTGTCCTGGATGACCAGGGCCAGGGACTGGGAGTGGTTGATGAGCTCCAGAAGAGACGACACAGCTGTGTGCTGCACCTGGTAGTCCCTCGACAGGCAACACAGGGTCATCAAGGACCTCAGCCACAAAGGCAGGCTGCCCACGTCACTGTCTGAAGAGAAAAAACAAAACAATATTTTGGTTACTTCCCATTCAATGAGTTCAAATTAGTCAAGATCATGAAAGCATATCAGTATGCTGACTTTAACCATCATAAAGTGGTCAATTCAACCCTGTTAGTAAGCCATGTTAGGAGTAGGAGTACACACTAAAGCTTTAAGCTACGCTTTTAATTTGAATAGACAAACCAGCACCCCAGTAAACCTGTATGGTTAACGATGTTGTTTTAGTAGAGTTAAACAAATTCCCCTATGTGGACTAAATTGTGCGAGTCTGACATGCATGACTACTGTGCGCCTAACTAACTACAGTACGTTTGTGTAGAGGTGTATAGACTGACCTGTATGGGTAAACAACCATTATTGTGTAAAAGTGTATACTGTGACCTCACCTGTATGGTGGAACATGTCACTGTAGAGCACCTGGCTCTCCTCCTCACTCAGGTAAAGGGGGAAGGTGGTACACTCCAACAGAAGGTGGCATGCTGCCGTGAATGCCTGGCGGCACTCCTCTGATATCTCCGCCCTGCCCCGGGGCATGTAGGCTGCCCCCCAGTCCACCCCTCCTCCCGCTCCCCCTTCCTCCTTTCTTCTTCTCTGTAGGGGGGACAGGGCGGTCTGGGACAGAGGGATCAGAGGAAGAGCGTGGTTTGTGTTTGTTGGGTGTGAAGAGCTCGGCTAGCTTGTCTTTGATCTGGGTGGTGGTTATCTGAGGGCCCTCTCGGAACGAGGTCTTCCCACCAGGGGAGAGGGCAGCGGGGTCGGGCTGTACAGCCTCCTCTTGCCCCCTGACGTCCTCCACCTGAACCAGCAGGTACCTGGGAGGAGAAAGAGAAAGAGAAAGAGAGAGAGAGTTGATCAAGTTGTTTTGATTGGTGCATGCTGTGCTTGATGATTGTGTGTTAAATGTTTTCCAGATGTGATCATGTTCTCTACCTGGTGGTTATGAAGGCTAGTATATCCAGCAGACACTGGGTCATGGTCTCCACACTGCCTCCCTTCCTCCACACGCCCTCGCCCTCTTTCACGATCCCCGCCCATTCAGGGCTCAGTCCCGCCCCTGGTAGGAGGTGCAGTTCCGAGGGTGAGGCGCTGAGGCCCAATCCGCTGTCTTCAGACCGAAGGGGCGGGAAGGTGCTTTCTCCCTCTACTGGGCCAGTCTCCTGCTCCACAACCCCATTCAGCTCTTCCTCTGGTTCTGTGTTGTCATGGTTACTGTTGATCCGACTGCCCTCTTCTTCCTCCTCCTCCTCCTCGTCCCTCTCCATGTCCTGTATCTAAGGGGAGAAAATGTATGTTCCAACCAGAATACCACCAATGAGGGAGAGAGTGGTATGACCTTAAAGGACAGTTAGAGAACCGTCTTCTTGTCCTTAAACTCTAAAAATATCATTTTTTTTCTTACGGAGAAATCCCATCACGAGCCATTCAGTGACTGAAGGAAGCTAAAAGATCAGTGGGAGCTGTGTCTATGTGACAGACAGACAGGCCAGTGTTACAGCTGGACTCCAGACCTTGGCCAAAACCAATTACATCTGCATGGAGAGTGAAATTAGAAGATTGTTTGGCCTGTGTACAGTCTGGATCTAACATCAAGACAAGAGGAGTACAGTACAGGACAGTACATGAGAGACAGCCTGACCAGGAGCTAACCCTGCCAGGAATGTTTTCCCTCATTCAGACGGGTCACCTACCAGACAGCTCATCCTGAGGGCATGACCATTCTGAAGTATCTTTGTAGTGCTGCATCCCTAACTCCCATTTTCCTTCTACTCTCCATACGCCACAGCTTCTCTGAACCACTGCACACACTCACACAGCCACTGACCGGAACATATTCGAAGCTCTCCTCCTGTGTCTGTGACTTCACTTTCTGTGTCTGTGACTCCACCTCCATGTCCATATAAGCCACGGGCATCTGGATCTTACTGAGCACCTTGAAGCAGGTGCGCAGGCCCTGTTTGAGCTCTGATAGGTCCAGACAGGTCATGTGGGTGCGGAGCGCATGCAGCATGCGGCCAAGCATCTGGGGCAGGAACTGAGACTGGATGTCAGCATGGAGCTCCTATTGGACCAGACACACAGAGACAGACCAATCAGATACGGTTAGAGAGAGAGAGCAAGAAAGAGTGAGAGCAAGAAAGAGAGAGAGAGAGAGACTCAAATGGCAAATACATTCAAGAGGATAAACTTTTTCCCAAACACAAAGTGGCTAAACTCTGGTGCCCAAACACTAGGCATGCCCTGGAGCTGTTGTCAGAGGACAGACTATGGTCCCCCAGCCACATCATAATTCACACGGGCACAAATTACCTGAGGGCCCAGCAGGAAAGGGTGGCCACAGCACTCAAGGGAGTGATTGAAAAAGCTTCTTCCACTTTCCCCAACGCACAAGTGGTTATCTCCACCCTGCTACCACAAAAATACTTTCACCCTGCCACCATACAGCAGGTGAATGCATGCATTTCGCGAGACTGTGCCCCAAAACCTAATGTCTACCTGGCCAACCACTCCACCCTGGACTTGAACAGCCTTTACGACCAGGTCCACATCTACAAGGCAGCAATCCCAACTTTTGCCAGGACCCTGAAGGACGTCACCCTCAACCGTAGCCCCAGCACCTCACACAGGAGCAACGGACACCCCACCTAGACCAGCGAGACACCCTCCCAGACCTGCAAGACCCCCTGCTGAAGGACCTGCACCGAGAGAACCCACGCCAAGAGGACCTACACCCACACCACAGCATCACCAGCCACACCCCAACCAGCTAAGACCACTCCAAGCAAACCCTGGCCACACCCTATATAGGCCCCACCCATATCAGACCTATGCCCCTTCTGCCCACCCCATGCCCCCTGCGGCAAGGATCTCAACATGACAGAAGGACATATGCCCAGGCCGTGAGCAGAGCAACAGGCCCAACCCCCACTATTACACCCGCCCAAGCATCATCCTGCGACCTAAGAGGTATGCAGAGCTCAACATGCTCTGCTCACACCTACAGTGATGGTCCGGGCCTAAACCACACATAAACAACACTAGACACTATGGAACACAAAGCTTTTACTATCTCATCCTGAAATACACAAGGTCTGAGGTCATCTGCCTTTGGCCTAAAGAGCAGGAACCCAGGACTTCATCAAAGAAATCAGAAATACAGACATTGTCAGAAACATGGCATAAAGGAGACGGACCAACTGGTTGCCCTCTAGGTTACAGAGAGCTGGTAGTCCCATCCACCAAACTACCAGGCGTGAAACAGGGAAGAGACTCAGGGGGTATGCTAATTTGGTATAGAGCAGACCTAACCCACTCTATTCAATCTGGCTAGAAATTAATAAGGAAATGATCTCAACAGAGAAAAATGTCCTCATGTGTGCTACCTATATCCCCCCAATAGAATCCCCATACTTTAACGATGACAGCTTCTCCATCCTAGAGGGGGAGATCAACCATTTCCAGGCCCAGGGACATGTACTAGTCTGTGGCTACGTAAATGCCAGAACTGGACAAGAACCTGACACCCTCAGCACACAGGGGGACAAACACCTACCTGGAGGTGACAGCATTCCCTCCCCCATATGCCCCCCTAGACACAACTACGACAACATAACCAACAAAAACGGGTCACAATTCCTGCAGCTCTGTCGGATGCTGGGTATGTACATAGTCAATGGTAGGCTTCGAGGAGACTCCTACGGTAGGTACACATATAGCTCATGTCTTGGCAGTAGTACTGTAGACTACTTTATCACTGACCTCAACCCAGAGTCTCTTAGAGCGTTCACAGTCAGTCCACTGACACCCCTATCAGATCACAGCAAAATCACACTCTACTTGAACAGAGCTATGCTCAATCATGAGGCATCAAAGCCAAAGGAACTGAATGATATTAAGAAATACTATAGATGGAAGGAATGTAGTGTGGAAATCTACCAAAAAACTATTAGTCAACAACAAATTAAATCCCTTCTAGACAATTTCCTGGACAAAATGTCTCACTATAATAGTGAAGGTGTAAACTTGGCAATAGAAAACCTAAACAGTATATTTGACCTCTCAGCTTCCCTATCAAATCTAAAAATTTAAAGCAGACAAACAAAGAAATGGTTTGATGAAGATTGCAAAAACCTAAGAAAGAAATTGAGAAACCTATCCAACCAAAAACATAGAGACCCAGAAAACCTGAGCCTACGCCTTCACTATGGTGAAGCACTAAAACAATACAGAAATACACTACGGAAAAAGAAGGAACAGCATGTCAGAAATAAGCTCAATGTAATTAAATACATAGAATCTAACCACTTCAGGGAAAATTGAAAAACTCTAAACAAACAACAACACGAAGAGTTATCTATCCAAAACAGAGATGTATGGATAAACCACTTCTCCAATCTTTTTGGCCCTATAACAAAGAGCAAATGGCAAAAACATATACATGATCAAATAAAAATCTTAGAATCAACTATTAAAGACTACCAGAACACACTGGATTCTCCAATTACATTGAGAGAACTACAGGACAAAATACAAACCCTCCAACCCAAAAAGGCCTGTGGGGTTGATGGTATCCTCAATGAAAGGATCAAATATACAGACCACAAATTCCAATTGGCTATACTTAAACTCTTTAACATCATCCTCAGCTCTGGCATATTCCCTAATATTTGGAACCAAGGACTGATCACCCCAATCCACAAAAGTGGAGACAAATTTGACTACAATACCTACCATGGGTATGTGGTCCTCTGTAGCTCAGCTGGTAGAGCACGGCGCTTGTAACGCCAAGGTAGTGGGTTCGATCCCCGGGACCACCCATACACAAAAATGTATGCACGCATGACTGTAAGTCGCTTTGGATAAAAGCGTCTGCTAAATGGCATATTATATTATTATTATTATTATTATTATTATTATTATTATTATTATTATTATATGCATCAACAGCAACCTTGGGAAAATTCTCTGCATTATCATTAACCGCAGACTCGTACATTTCCTCAGCGAAAACAATGTATTTAGAAAATGTCAAATTGGCTTTTTACCAAATTACAGACCACGTATTCACCCTGCACACCCTAATTGACAAACAAACAAAACAAAACAAAGGCAAAGTTTTCTCATGCTTTGTTGATTTCAAAGAAGCTTTCATGAGGGCATGCTATACAAATTGATGGAAAGTGGTGTTGGGGGGAAAACATACGACATTATAAAATCCATGTACACAAACAACAAGTGTGTGGTTAGAATTGGCAAAAAACACACACATTTCTTTCCATAGGGCGAGCTTAAGCCCCACCCTCTTCAACATATATATCAACAAATTGGCGAGGGCACTAGAACAGTCTGCAGCACCCGGCCTCACCCTACTAGAATCTGAAGTCAAATGTTTACTGTTTGCTGACGATCTGGTGCTTCTGTCCCCAACCAAGGAGGGCCTACAGCAGCACCTAGATTTTCTGCACAGATTCTGTCAGACCTGGGTCCTGACAGTAAATCTCAGTAAGACAAAAATAATGGTGTTCCAAAAAAGGTCCAGTTGCCAGGACCACAAATACAAATTCCATCTAGACACCGTTGCCCTAGAGCCCACAAAAAAAGATACATACATTGGCCTAAACATCAGCGCCACAGCTAACTTCCACAAAGCTGTGAACGATTTGAGAGACAAGGCAAGAAGGGCCTTCTATGCCATCAAAAGGAACATAAAATTCAACATACCACTTAGGATCTGGCTAAAAGTACTTGAATCAGTTATAGAACCCATTGCCCTTTATAGTTGTGAGGTCTGGGGTCTGCTCACCAACCAAGAATTCACAAAATGGGACAAACACCAAATTGAGACTCTGCATGCAGAATTCTGCAAAAATATCCTCAGTGTACAACGTAAAACACCAAATAATGCATGCAGAGCAGCATTTGGCCGATACCCGCTAATTATCAAAATCCAGAAAAGAGCCGTTAAATTCTATAACTACTTAAAAGGAAGCGATTCCCAAACCTTCCATAACAAAGCAATCACCGACAGAGAAATTAACCTGGAGAAGAGCCCCCTAAGCAATCTGGTCCTGGGGCTCTGTTCACAAACACAAACAGACCCCACAGAGCCCCAGGACAGCAACACAATTAGACCCAACCAAATCATGAGAAAACAAAAAGAGAATTACTTGACACATTGGAAAGAATTTACCAAAAAATGGAGCAAACTAGAATGCTATTTGGCCCTAAACAGAGAGTACACAGTGGCAGAATACCTGACCACTGTGACTGACCCAAAATTAAGGAAATATTTGACTATGTACAGACTCAGTGAGCATAGCCTTGCTATTGAGAAAGGCCACCTTCAAGAGAAGTCAGGCTATGTGCACACTGCCCACAAAATGAGGTGGAAACTGAGCTGCACCTCCTAACTTCCTGCCAAATGTATGACCATATTAGAGACACATATTTCCCTCAGATTACACAGACCCACAAAGAATTGAAAAAAAAATTCCAAATTTTGATAAACTCCTATATCTATTGGGTGAAATACCACAGTGTGCCATCACAGCAGCAAGATTTGTGACCTGTTGCCACAAGAAAAGGGCATCCAGTGAAGAACAAACACCATTGTATATATAACCTATATTTATGTTGATTTCATTCCCTTTTGTACTTTAACTATTTGCACATCATTAAAACACTGTATATAGACATAATGACACTCGAAAAGTCTTTATTATTTTGGAGTGCAATGTTTACTGTAAATTTTTTATTATCTATTTCACTTGTTTTGGCAATGTAAATATACAGTTGAAGTCGGAAGTTTACATACACCTTAGCCAAATACATTTAAACTCAGTTTTTCACAATTCCTGACATTTAATCCTAGTAAAATGTCCCTGTCTTAGGTCAGTTAGGATCACCACTTTATTTTAAGAATGTGAAATGTCTGAATAATAGTAGAGAGAATGATTTATTTCAGCTTTTATTTCTTTCATCACATTCCCAGTGGGTCAGAAGTTTACATACACTCAATTAGTATTTGGTGGCATTGCCTTTAAATTGTTTAACTTGGGTCAAATGTTTTGGGTAGCCTTCCACAAGCTTCCCACAATAAGTTGGGTGAATTTTGGCCCATTCCTCTTGACAGAGCTGGTGTAACTGAGTCAGGTTTGTAGGCCTCCTTGCTCGCACATGCTTTTTCAGTTCTGCCCACAAATGTTCTATAGGATTGATGTCAGGGCTTTGTGATGGCCACTCCAATACCTTGACTTTGTTGTCCTTAAGCCATTTTGCCACAATTTTGGAAGTATGCTTGGGGTCATTGTCCATTTGGAAGACCCATTTGCGACCAAGCTTTAACTTCCTGACTGATGTCTTGAGATGTTGCTTCAATATATCCACATCATTTTCCTTCCTCATGATGCCATCTATTTTGTGAAGTGCACCAGCCCCTCCTGCAGCAAAGCACCCCCACAGCATGATGCTGCCACCCCCTTGCTTCACGGTTGGGATGGTGTTCTTCGGCTTGCAAGTTATCCCCTTTTTCCTCCAAACATAACGATGGTCATTATGGCCAAACAGTTCTATTTTTGTTTCATCAGACCAAAGGACATTTCTCCAAAAAGTACGATCTTTGTCCCCATTTGCTGTTGCAAACCGTAGTCTGTCTTTTTTATGGCGGTTTTGGAGTAGTGGCTTCTTCCTTGCTGAGCGGCCTTTCAGGTTATGTCGATATAGGACTCGTTTTACTGTGGATATAGATACTTTTGTACCCGTTTCCTCCAGCATCTTCACAAGCTCTTTTGCTGTTGTTCTGGGATTGATTTGCATTTTTCACACCAAAGTACGTTCATCTCTAGAAGACAGAACGCGTCTCCTTCCTGAGCGGTATGACGGCTGCGTGGTCCCATGGTGTTTATACTTGCGTACTATTGTTTGTACAGATGAACGTGGTACCTTCAGGCGTTTGGAAATTGCTCCCAAGGATGAACCAGACTTGTGGAGGTCTACAGTTATTTTTTCCTGAGGTCTTGTCTGATTTATTTTTTGATTTTCCCATGATGTCAAGCAAAAAGGCACTGAGTTTGAAGGTAGGCGTTGAAATACTTCCACAGGTACACCTCCAATTGACTCAAATGATGTCAATTAGCCTATCAGAAGCTTCTAAAGCCTTGACATCATTTTCTGGAATTTTCCAAGCTGTTTAAAGGCACAGTCAACTTAGTGTATGTAAACTTCTGACCCACAGTGATACAGTGAATTATAAGTGAAATAATCTGTCTGTAAACAATTGTTGGAAAAATTACTTGTGTCATGCACAAAGTAGATGTCCTAACTGACTTGCCAAAACTATAGTTTGTTAACAAGAAATTTGTGGAGTGGTTGAAAAACGAGTTTTAATGACTCCAACCTAAGTGTATGTAAACTTCCGACTTCAACTGTATGTTTCCCATGCCAATAAAGCCCCTTAAATTGACTTGAAAGAAAGAGAGCGAGCGAGAAAGAGCTGAAAAATAGTGTGTGTGTGTACCAGAGGGATGACGTCCAGTAGGAATATGATGAGTGTGGAGATCTCTGTGACAGAGGGAGCAGGAGAGTCACACTGATACTGCAGAGGGGGCGGCGGCAGGTCAGCTGGGTCACTATGGAGACACAGAGAGAGAGAGAGAGAGAGAGAGAGAGAGAGAGAGAGAGAGAGAGAGAGAGAGAGAGAGAGAGAGAGAGAGAGAGAGAGAGAGAGAGAGGAGGAGAGAGAGAGAGAGAGAGAGAGAGAGAGGAGAGAGATCAGCTAAACAATGTAAAATACATTTGAGTTGGAGAAAGATGCTTTATAACAGCAAAGCTTCTGTGACTATTCTAGAGGAGGTACAGTAGGTGTTAGTAGAGGTGTTACCCACCTCAGGCAGGTGCAGAAGTGGCAGGTCATGTAGTCCCACAGGAACTCACTGTTCATGGAGCTCACCAGCATGTTCACCGTCTTTATGATTTCTGATGCGTTCTTGTTCTCTTTTATTTTACTGCACAGACAACACAACACAAATACATCTAGGCAGTTACTATCATGTCGATCTCTTTTTAGGAAAATTCCCAATAAATACCATTCATCTATATTAGTTCATTCTCCACTCGTCCCATCCTCTCACCTGGCTAGCTGGTTGCCTGTCAGGCCAGCGCTGGTGATAGACTCCTCTCCCAGCATCTCTCTGCAGTAGCTGTAGAATGCTCTCACCACCTCCAATAACACACTGCCCACCACCAGAGGACCTGAGAGAGACCACCATAATCATCATCATCATCACACACTGCCCACCACCAGAGTACCTGAGAGAGACCACCATCATCATCATCATCATCACACACTGCCCACCACCAGAGGACCTGAGAGACCAACATCATCATCATCATCATCATCATCACACACTGCCCACCACCAGAGGACCTGAGAGAGACCAACATCATCATCATCATCACACACTGCCCACCACCAGAGGACCTGAGAGAGACCAACATCATCATTACACACTGCCCACCACCAGAGGATCTGAGAGAGACCAACATCATCATTACACACTGCCCACCACCAGAGGACCTGAGAGAGACCAACATCATCATTACACACTGCCCACCACCAGAGGATCTGAGAGAGACCAACATCATCATTACACACTGCCCACCACCAGAGGACCTGAGAGAGACCACCATCATCATCATCATCACACACTGCCCACCACCAGAGGACCTGAGAGAGACCAACATCATCATTACACACTGCCCACCACCAGAGGACCTGAGAGAGACCAACATCATCATTACACACTGCCCACCACCAGAGGACCTGAGAGAGACCACCATCATCATCAGCATCACCACTACACTCTACTTACCAGCAGAGGGCTTGAGACAGATTGAGAGAGACAGAAGGGGAGGGGTGGGAGAGAAGAGGCCTGAAGGAGGGGAGGGGTGTGTTTACCTATCTCTGGCTTATCTATGAGGCTGATGATGACGCGGAAGGGTCGTAGATAACCAATCACGCTCTCCGGGTCCGCCTCCACATCCTTTTGATTCAAGATGTTGATCAAAGCCTAAAGACAGAGACACAGAGGACACACACACACACGGTTACACCACTGAGTATTTACTGAATTGAAGTTCACATTGTTTTCCTGGTTTCATATTTGAATGAGTGACTTACATTTAAGGGCAGGTGTTTTAAGACCTTCATGAGGTTTAATCATCTGTGACAGTATGATTTATATACTGTAACTGATCAACAGTAGTGTTAGCTAGTGTGTCTGACCTGCACTAGGAGTTCTCTGGAGTGGGTGTTGAAGTAGAAGGCTGTGTGTTCCTCCATGGAGATGGAGAGGTCAGGGTCTGCAGCAACCATACCCCCCTTAATGTCTGTGCCTTGGGAACAGCAACACACACACACAGATACAGTTATTCACTTATAATACCAAGGCATACATTTTAGTCTCTGAAAGGAGAGGTGCAAACAATTGAGGCTATATGGATAAATGTATTAGGTAGACCTAAACGACATTAGCTACAACTAAAGTTATTAGCTACATAGTTAACTATATCCAGGCCTACTGCTAGACTATGACTCAAAGCCATAACTTCATTGTGTGTGTGTGTGTGTGTGTGAACATGGCCGTGGTGCATGTCTATCCACAGTAACTACCTAGCAGCCAGGCGTAGAGGCGTCTGTTGAGGGACATGTCTCTGCGGAGCAGCGTGAGGGAAGCAGCAGACACCACTGTGATCGTGTCCTCCCTGGTCATAGGAATACTGCCTTCTGTTGGGTCCTGAGGTAATAACAGGGACAGAGTTACACATGGGGCACAGGGAGAAGGGAGGGGGAGAGGATGAAGATAGAGAGGCAGAGAAGGAAGAGTTGGAAGAGGAGATGAAAGAGGAGTAAGGGAGGAGCAGGACAGGGTATATAAGGAGGAGGAGGTGAGGAAGAGGAGACTGAGGAGGAAGAGGAGGAGGAGGTGAGACAGAGGAGAAGAAGGAGGAGGAAAAAGGAAGAGGAGGAGGTGGTGTGGTGGAGGAGGAGGAATAGGAGGAGGCAACGTTACTTACCAGGCAGGTGGCCAAGGAGAAGAAGTAGAGCAGGATCTCCAGCATGTTCCTCTGCACCAGAACATTAGAGTCCTGCAGAGACAGACACAACGCCTTCACCTGGGAGAGACACAGAGAGAGAGAGACACACAGAGAGAAAGAAAGAGAGAGAGACAGAGAGAGAGAGAGAGAGAGAGAGAGAGAGAGAGAGACAGAGAGGTTATACAACATATCCAACATTGCAGACACAACCCTACACTCACTCACATTAACACGCTGAAACACAATAACTCACCACCAGGCGGTTGTCATAGCCCAGCATGCATGTTTGCTGGTGCGGGGGGGTGAAGCGGTCGAAGTGTGTGACGATGAAGAGAGAGGCAGGCAGCCGGACCAGAGGGCTGACCAACACACTGCCCCACAGAGCCCCATAGAACACCTGCTGGCCCACCAACATAGACAGTCTCAGTAGCAACACATCCGTCCTGAAGAGAGGGGAGAGGGGGAGAAACTTTTAAGTGAGGAAGAGGAAGATAATTAGTAATATCATGCAATTATCTATGCGAAAGAAAATACACTGAGTGTATAAAACATTAGGAACACCTTCCTAATATTGAATTGCACCCCCCTTTGCCCTCAGAACACCCTCAATTCATCGGGGCATGGACTCTACAAAGTGTCAAAAGCGTTCCACAGGGATGCTGGCTCATGTTGACTCCAATGCTTCCCACAGTTGTGTCAAGTTGGCTGGATGTCCTTTGGGTGGTGGACCATTCTTGATACCCACAGGAAACTGTTGAGTGTGAAAAACCCAGCAGCATTGCAGTTCTCAAACCGGTGCGCCTGGCAACTACTATCATACCCCGTTCAAAGGCATTTAAATATTTTGCCTTGTCCATTCACCCTCAATGGCACACATATACAATCCATGTCTCAATTGTCTCGAGGCTTAAACATCCTTCCTTCCCCTTCAACTACACTGATTAAAGTGGATTCAACAAGTGACATCAATAAGGGATCACAGTTTTCACCTGGATTCACCTGGTCAGTCTATGTCATGTTTTGTACACTTTTTGTTGTGTTTAGGTACACAGGTGTGTGTGTGTGTGTGTGTGTGTGTGTGTGTGCAGCGTGTACCTGTCATAAACCTCAGCCCCCTCCTCCAGGCCAGGCAGTAGTCCAGTGATGAAGGCCTGTAGGCTGGGCAGTAGGGCCCTCTGTAGGGGGAGGTAGTAGCGCTCATACAGCGTCAACAGGGCTGGCTTCACTGCCATCGCAGCATGGCCCAGCAACGGGAACAGCCCCGAGCTAAAACACATACATACACACACACACACACACACACACACACACACACACACACAAACAAGATAGAGATCAATACAACACATTAACTCACACACACACACACACATCAGTACAGGAGAACACACTGACAGGTCAATAGGCCTACAACACCTCAGGACAGACAGACAATACAGACAGACAGACAGACAGACACACACATCCTATGGGTTAGCATGAGTCCCACACCTGTAGATGAAGAGGTCCTTGGCCAGCCATTTGGTGCCGATGATCTTGAAGATGACCTCATAGGTCTCCAGGGCCTTGAGGTGCACTCCGCTGGGCAGGGCCGGGTGCAGACACTGGGCCAGACGCTTCCCAATGATCAGCCTCTTGGGCAGCAGAGAGTAGCGCAGGTTACTCTGCAGGGCCTGGGGAGGGAGGATTAGAGAGAGGGAGAGCGCTGATGAAGGGGGTGCCAAATGGTGCTTGTTAGTGGTGTGTGTTGTAACGAATACCAAATTAATAAGCAATTCATTGGTAATTATTGTGTATCTACTGTGTAATGTGTTTGGGCTATTGACAAAAAAGGTCATGAGGTACTGACACTGTCAACATAACCAAATAGATTAGCAGGAACTGGAAGTGTTGCACACACACATATCAACAACAGAGGTGGAAAAAGTACTCAATTGTCATACTTGAGTAAAAGTAAAGATACTTTAATTAATAGAAAATGACTCAAGTGAAAGTCACCCAGTAAAATACTACTTGAGTAAAAGTCTAAAAGTATTTGGTTTTAAATATACTTAAGTATCAAAAGTAAATGGAATTGCTAAAATGTACTAAGTATCAAAAGTAAAAGTATAAACCATTTCAAATTCCTTATATTAAGCAAACCAGACTGCACAATTATTTAGAAAATGTTGGGACGGATAACCAGGGGCACACTCCAACACTCAGACATCATTTACAAATGAAGCATTTGTGTTTAGTGAGTCCGCCAGATCAGAGACAGTAGGGATGACCAGGGATGTTCTCTTGATAAGTGTGTGAATTGAACCATTTTCCTGTCAAAATGTAACGAGTACTTTTGGGTGTCAGGGAAAATGTATGGAGTAAAAAGTACATAATTTTCTTTAGGAATGTAGTGAAGTAAAAGTAAAAGTTGGCAAAAATATAAATAGTAAAGTAAAGATACCCCCAAAAACTACTTAAGTAGTACTTTACAGTATTTTTACTTAAGTACTTTACAACACACACTGTCATTCTACCATAACACTCCTAAGCAAACATCCTTCTTGTTAAATGTGTCACAAGCAGTGTCCCACTAGCGTGCAAAGTCCCCTTGGGTGGAGCAAGAGACTTGTTAGACCATGTATTCTGGGCTACTGAAGTAGAACAGTTTACAATAAATGTTAAACTTAGTGCCTGCAAAAGCAATCAGAGTTTGAATACTGTATTGTCTTCTAACAGCTTTAATAGTTAGAAGCAAATACATTGTTCAGTAAAAGGGATAGACTATCATCCTCCCCATTGAATGATTGGGGGCTAAGTGAATGAACACTGATGTAGGCTAATTTTCTGATAGTGTGGGAATGTTTTTCCATTTCATAGCGGATGCCAATATCACAGTCCAATGATCCTGGAGCCAGATCCAGACAAAACCAGATGCAGCCATGGTAACACCAGTAGGACAGATAAGTGACTGCAGGTAGTGACTGGGCACAGAGCCAGAGAGCCACTCACACACAGCAAGTACAATACACTGACCAAGAAACCAATAGCATGGCTAACTCGTCAATGCTAAAGAATAAGCAGTTAGCTTCTACTCTGTAAGGACACGAATACACTCAGAAAATGCCACCAATGATTTGGTCAGTCACTCTCACTCAGATATCATAGAGTCTATTGATGCACAGGTGCGTCAATCTAAATAACATAACAAAAAAATCCCCATCAAAATCAGTCAGTTTAAGCTAGAGATATCTATGGCGTCCTTCCGCATCTGCGGTGGAAGGTGGCGGAACTACAGCGGTGTTTGTCAGACCATGAGACATCCCGAAAACTGGTCTTCTCACGAAAATGTCTGTAGCATCCGAACGGTTTGGCCTACAAACTCTATGGAAAGATTAGATTTTCACGAACACGATGGTCTGAAGTCGGTACCGTCGATGTGCCAACTTCTGTTTGTGGAAAGGGGAGATTCTCATGAACACGATGGTGTTCTCCGTTTTGCTCTACGACCCCCACAAGTGTTGCGGGACTCGTCTGAAGGTAACCGGTACCGGTTTAAAAAATGAATGGTATGGAGGTAGTTTTGTGTCTACCCAAAAAAGGGGTTAAATACGTGTTCCAAAAAAACATAAAATATTTATAGGACAGACACTTCAAAACCTTGTTCATTAAGATTTTTTTTTTTTTTTCATTTTTTGTCTGCCTGGTGACATCACATTCATGAGCTTGGGTCCCAGGAAAACACTGAATTTCTCATTTAGGTCCCAGGTATAAAATATTTAAGAAACCATGGTCTAGAGTGGCTTCATGTCTGATCTCCAAGCTCAATATATTGTACCAGCTGTGTCGATCGTACCTTGTTGAGTTTGCCCAGAGAGGAGATGAGGTCGGCCCATTCACTGGATGACTCAAAGTTCCGCAGGGCCTTCTCGATGACTGACGCGTAACTACGGTAACGGTAGTCATTCTGCAGCTCCTGTTCCTCGGGATCCATGATGCACGACTCACGTCCCAGCATGCTCAGCGTGTGTCTGAGGAAAGGGGAGGAGAACGGGAAACAGAGAGGAGAGAGGGAAACAGAGAGGAGAGGGGGAGACAGAACAGAGAGTTGTCAGACATCAATCCCTACACCAGGGTCATGTCCAGTAGGCTCAAATTAGAAGAAAACACAGTGAAAAGTGGAGGTAGGTACTAGCCTACATGTACCTGAAATTGAAACTTTTGATACAGTGTCCCCTAATGAAAACAACCCAGATTTCTGTTTGTAACATTGCGCTATGATGCAGAGGGTTTTCTCCTACAAACGCAAATTGATATGGTCACAGTGACACAAGCGGTCACACACACACGCAGGAATCACAATGAGCTCATTCATGATTGGGTCTGCTCTGTGCTGGTCTGCCTGACCTGGCTTGAATTCTGAAAATAGCCTAACAGACAACTGGTATTTAGGACACAGGGCGACTGATCCCTATTGAACACATCTACACATGCTCCCAGAGGAACAAACATCAGCGCCCGTATTCACAAAGTGTCTCAGAGTAGAAGTGGTGATCTAGGATGAGTTTAGCCTTTTAAAGACGGAATCCACAGTAGGGGGAAACAGCGCCACTGGCCGCCCCACAACCGTTGTTATTGTTTTTGTTGCCGAGCTGAGGAGCTTCGCGCAGCATGGTAAAAAAAAAATCCTGTACATATTGTTCTATTCTATCGAGAGAGAGAGAGAGGGACTAACAGAGACAGAGAGAGAGAGAGGGACTAACAGAGACACAGAGAGAGAGAGGGACTAACAGAGACATAGAGAGAGAGGGACTAACAGACATGGAGAGAGGGGGACTAACAGAGACATGGAGAGAGAGAGAGAGAGAGAGAGAGAGAGAGAGAGAGAGAGAGAGACTAACAGAGACATGGAGAGAGAGAGAGGGACTAACAGAGACAGAGGGAGAGAGAGAGGGACTAACAGAGACAGAGAGGGACTAACATAGACATGGAGAGAGAGGGACTAACAGAGACATAGAGGGAGAGAGAGAGGGACTAACAGAGACAGAGAGGGAGAGGGAATAACAGAGACATGGAGAGAGAGAGAGAGAGGGACTAACAGACATGGAGAGAGGGGGACTAACAGAGACATGGAGCGAGAGGAGAAGATAACAG